TTTGGTCAAACAGGCTTGCTGGGTTCCTTCTTGTCTACCATACCTAGTCCACAGTATAATATAGTTACCTACTGTGCCAGCTCTCTTTCTGGAGCAGGCCCTCTATGTTCTCTTAGGCAGTTAGGGGAAGTTCAGAGTTTCTTCCTGAGTATTTTTGGGCTTTGGTTATTTTTAGCTTGAAATAATCTGCATACTAAAGTGGCACATTTTGGGGCAGTCTGGCCTTGGCCCTTACAGTATGATGAGGTCTGTAATTTACTGTCGTCAAGAAGTGTGGTCTTAGTAGCCTCTGTGTGTGTGTGTGTGTGTGTGTGTGTGTGTGTGTGTGTGTTGCATTAAATTATGGGCTAGCAATGACTCTGCTCAGGACTTTACACACCACAGGTGCTCAGCTGTATCAATCAGAGAGTCCATATGCCATATTATACCTACAGATGCTTCTGTCAGCCACAGCTCAAGCCAACAGCTTTGCTAGGTAGCAAAATGAAGGTTAGAAATTGGTTTTCATTGGTGGAATTAGTAGTTTATTAGCTAGTATAACAGGTGAGAGAGATGGGCTCGAATTTGCGAAATCAATGATATTGAAGACATGTGTATTGTTTAGAATATGTGAGACTGTCCTCAACATTGCAATGACAGGGTATAAGAACCTAACAAGTTGGAAGCCTGTTTCCTTAGGGATAATACTGTAGGCTAAACCTCCAAATGGCCCTGTGTCCAGCTATGAACTCTAAGGGTTCCAGTTCCCTGATAATGTCTATGAGGCCAACAGAATCCCTGTTCTGTAATAGTGGTGAGTCTGTCTTGAGTGCCTTGCATGGTTATCAGAGTACGTGAAACAACAGAGAGCTGGGGCATTACTGGGACATAAAAACTGTTTTGTGCCACAGAATCATGGCTGTTTCATAAACATCTGAATAAATGGGCCCATATTTAAGTTATATACATAGCCCTTAGGGCACCTGGGGAGAATACCCCCTAACCAAGGAGGAACTTGTGACCTTCACTTTCCTGGCAGGCACAGTTTTGTTTTGTTTTTTTAATGTTTAGTTATTTTTGAGAGAGCGCATGCACGGAGGAAGGGGCAGAGAGAGAGGAGGACAGAGGATATGAAGCAGGCTCTGAGCTGACAGCAGTGAGCCCGATGAGGGGCTTGAGCTCATGAATCATGAGATCATGACCTGAGCTGAAGTTAGATGCTTAACTGAGCCACCTAGGTGCTCCAAGGTATGCACAATTCTTTTAAAAGAATTTTTTTTAATGTTTATTTATTTTTGAGACAGAGAGAGACAGAGCATGAGTGGAGGAGGGGAGAGAGAGAGAGAGAGAGAGAGAGAGACAGAATCCGAAGAAGGCTATAGGCTCTGAGCTGTCAGCACAGAGCCCGACGCAGGGCTCGAACTTATGAGCTGTGAGACCATGACCTGAGCTGAAGTCGGACACCCAACCGACTGAGCCACCCAGGTGCCCGAAGGTAGGCACAATTCTTAACAGACGACAATTCCTTGAGCAAATGTGAAAATAATTAATGCAGACAGAATACGGGGTGCCTTTTTAAGACTCAGAAAGAAAAAAATGATGGCCCCTGAAAACCTAAAATATAACACCAACAATAGATCCCAGCAAAGTGCTTTATAGAGCTTTCGACTAAAGCTTGCCAGTGACCCTTTTGAAGACATTTAAGATAAAAATCGAAACAAAGAAAGGGTATATGAAAAACAATCAGGTTAGTCTGACCCAAGGAATATGAGAATGATCCAAGACCTAAAGGGCCAGGCAGAAGCTATTTGTCTCACCAGTGTTGAAAGCTATGCATCACCTCTGCTATGCTATATTCCTTAGAAGCCACTTTCTAAGCCTGGCCCACACCCAAGAGGAGGGGAATCAAACTCCACCTTTTGAAGAAAGGAGCATCAAAGAACTGTGAACAGATTTAAAAACCACCATTGCCTACATTAAAGATGTTATAGGTCCTCTAAAATTCATATTTCTCTCAGGAGCAGTAATAGCTATGTTTCTCTTGAGCAACCACTTTGTTTTTATGTTACAGTGTTGTGAATCACTCTGTAAATTGTGTTTTCCTCTTTTTTCAGCTGTCAAGAAGCTCAAAATAAAAATTTGGCTCACCTCCAGCTTGTGTACAAGACCTCAAGGCATGTGTTCTATGGATTCAAGTCACCCATGACTTCATCTTCTTTTTCCTTTCCTACTTTCACTCTCATTTCTGTCCCCCCACTTTTATACTTACGAATGAATGAATCACATGATATAGATCTATACATCTACATACACACATGTGTTGTGGCATATGGTGTATATGTTTACAAGCAACCTAAATCCCTTTTGAAATAAGAACATGTATAAATAAAATAAATACAATATTTTTCATCTTTTAAGACTTGAGGTAAGTTAGTTCTTTTGTTTTCTTTCTTTCTTTTTAATGTTTATTTATTTTTGAAAGAGAGAGAGAGAGAGGGAGGGGCAGGGAGGGGCAGAGAGGGGGAGACTGAAGATTCCTAGCAGCCTCTGTGCTGACAGCAGAGAACCTGATGTAGGGCTCGAACTCCTGAACTGTGAGATCATGACCTGAGCCGAGGTCAGACACCTAACTGACTGAGCCACCCAGGAGCCCCTTGTTTTCTTAACAAAGATAATTACTGACTTTCCCCCCATACATATACTCAAACAATACAGAAAACCATGAAGTAAAAATACTTCCAAATCTCACCACCCAGGGAAACACATTATTAACATTTCGGTCAATATCCTTCTAACTATCTGTTTATAAACATACAGGCAATTCTACACAAATGGATTTTTTTATTGAAGTATCACTGACACACAATGTTATATTAGTTTCAAATGTACAATAGAATGATTTGACAAGTCTATACATTTATGCTATGCTCACCACAAGTCACCATACAGTGCTGTTACAATACCAATGACTATATTCCTATGCTGTACCTTTCATTCCTGTGACTTAATTCATTCCATGACTGAAAGCCTGTACCTCTCACTCCCCTTCACTCCTTTTGCCCATCACCCACCCCTCCCAAATGGAATTTTAAAAAATGTTTATTTATTTTGAGAGAGAGAGAGAGAGTGTGTGCACAAGTAGGGGGAAGGGCAGAGAGACAGGGAGAGAGAGAATCCCAAGTAGGCTCTGCACTGTCAGCACAGAGCCCCACGTGGGGCTGGCCCCCACGAACTGTGAGATCATGACATGAGCCGAAATCACGAGTCAGATGCTTAACCAACTGAGCCACCCAGGCACCCCTGGAATGTTTTTTTGTTTTTTAAGTAAGCTTTACAGCCAACATGGGGTTTGAACTCACAATCTGGAGGTCAAGAGTTGCATATTCTACTGACTTAGCCAGCCAGGAGCCCCTGGAATTTTTATTTTATTTTTAAAAAATTATTTTTTTAAGTTTGTTTATTTATTTAGAGAGAGCGCAAGCAGGAGAGAGGCAGAAAGAGGGAGAGAAAGAATCCCAAGCAGAGCTCTATCTCAAGAAATTTGAGGTCACGACCTGAACGGAAATCAAGAGCTGGCACCTTAACTGACTGAGCCACCCAGGCGCTCCTGGAATTTTTTTTTTTTAAAGCTCACTATGCTATGTATATTTTCTAGGTCATATTTTAAAAATGTTGATCATTCTTAGTAGCTGCATGGTGTTCTATTGTACCATAATTTAACTACTGTGCATTTTAACATTCCATTCCCTGAACAGGTTTGAAAAAGCATTACCCACACATTTATTATGCATCTTGCTGGGAATTTTACCTTTAAGAAGGTGAGGCATGGTGGCTGAGACCATCAGCTTTATATAGAATCTGGGTATGAGTTCATTATCTACTGCTCTAGTTTTGAAATCTCAAAGCTGGACTGAGGTGTTCTGCCCATGAAAGAAAATACAGGTACTTTTCCCCAAATTTACAGAAATAATTAAAATTCATAGATGGAATTTCCACAATATTGAAATTTACTCTCAGGTCTATTACTAAATTTTTAGCGTCTGATACCACTGTTTTGTATTCAACTCTAATAAAAAATGGTAAAGGATTTACACAAATTTTCATAATGAGTTAATTATCAGAATTTCATGACGGTCTGTGACTTTCAGCGACTCGGTCCTTAGAGATCTGGTTCCATCAGATGGAAACAGGGAATATTTCTGAGCAAAACTGCACCTCCCGCCCCAATCCTGTCAAGAAAATAAAATCGATTCAGCAAACTCCATTTGTTTAAAAATTTCAATAACGAAACCACTAGCGGAGAAAATAGGATACATTCAACATGTATTAAGTATGGAGAACTGTGTTAGAAGACCGGGCGGTTCAGTCAAGGTGAATAGGACACAGCACCCACCCCGCAGCTCGGGACAGGTAAACAGCTCTGGTAGAAGAGCAGGACTCGGGGCAGGTGTCCCAGCCAGAGACCTCAAATTCTGAAAGCTAGTCCATCTCTCTCGCCGCGAAAGTCACGATTTCCCCTTATCCCTAAATAATTTAGCATCAATTCCGAAGAGGAGCAACAGAAACAAAAACACAACAACGTATGCCCACTCAGCTCCCTCCCAAACACTGCAATATTTCTAAACTTTTCCCTCAGGATAATAAAGAGTACCTTCCGGTACCGATTCATCGATTCCAGAAAACTACAAGTCCCAGTAGGCTGCATGGGCAGCTCAGAGGCTAGTCTCCCGGTTTCAGAATGCCGCCTTATGCTCCAATCCTGAGCTGGGTCTGTGAGCCGTGGCCGCGCGGCCTGCTGGGACTTGTAGTCCGCTTCAGAGTCCCTTTCCCTGTCTGCGCAGGCTCGCGCGGCCTGTGTTCGCCCTTCGGCCCTGCAAAAGCCCAGCCCAGTCTTCAATGCTCCCCACCCCCATCCCGCTCCATCCCCTCGGGGGCCAACCTCCTCCGGTCACGTGGCAAGCCTTTCATGCGGCGATTGGCCGTGAGGGTTCGGGGGCGGGGCGCGGGGGCCCTGAAAGGTTCCGTGCCCCTTATCGGGCCGCTTGTTTGGCTGCTGCCGTCACCTCATGGCGACGCGAGTAGAGGAGGCAGCGCGGGGAAGAGGCGGCGGCGCCGAGGAGGCTATTGAAACCGGACGGGGCGGACGGCGACGCAGCCCGCGGCAGAAGGTCAGTCTGGGAGGCGTCCGCGTTGTTGCCGGCAGGGGAAATGCTCGGGCTAGCTCTTTCGGGGTCCACATCTTCGCTCTCTCCGGTTACCTTTAGCCACGGGACGAACATCCGGCCCTTTTCCCTCCCGGGGGTGACGACAGTGGGAGCAGGTGGGGGGGGGACTGGGACCGGGATGGATGGGGTGGGAGGAAGCGATGGTTGGGGTTTCGAGGCGTGTGGCAGACGCGGGGAGAGGGCAGGGGGCGCAGCCCCGTGTGAGGGGGAGGGGATGCGAGGCGGGGGCGCACCAGGTGTGACAGCCACGTGCGGCCGGCGCCGGGGAGCCCCGGGCGCCAGGTGTTCCTTCTCCCAGCCCCCGCCCTCGGCGTGTTCTCGGTGCTCCCTGTGTTCCCCGCGCTGGGCGCCGCCGTCGGGGGGCTGCCTGGGTCAGTGGCCGGTCCTGCTCTTACCGGGCAGGTGCGCAGGGCGCGCTGCGGGGTGCGCCGGGGCGGCGCGGGCGAGGCTGTTGCGCAGTAAGATAACCGCGCGGGAGCCGGGGTTGCACTGCGCCCCCCTTCCCCCGCCCCCTCTGCGCTCCCCGCCACTGCGCGGGCGGGCGAGCGCCGCGGGGCTGGGAGGACCGTTCGGCTCCCGGCCCTGGGGCTCATCTCTGGGCGCCACCGGCCTCGTTACACGTGGGGCCGGCGATGGGAAGACGATGCTGGAGGACCTGGGTCCCGCAGAGTTGGGGGCAGCATCGCGTGATAGCCGGTCTTCCCATTTTAGCCTCCCTCCTCCTTCTTGCTCTTTATTTCCCCTCCTTTTTTTTCTTTCCTTTTTTTTTTCTTTTTTTTGGGGGGGGGGTGAACGGAAACTTGACCGCCTCCCCCACCCTGGCCTTTGGTCTCTGTTAATCTGGGAGGCAGGCTGGACCGTTCCCCTTGCCTTACTTGACTCACGTCAAGGAGTTTTCAGTGTCTCCCTGGATACAGGAAAATCGAGACCTCCAGAATGGGAGAATTCCACTTGTTCTGGAGTCAGTGGGTGGAGTTCGAAAAAGATTGCACAACAAATGGGGTACAGGGCTTTCAGGACCCAGGAGTGGAAATCCGCAGGGTAAGGCGCTGGAAAGGTGAAAACCTTGTCTCTTTTTCCTTACAGTGGAACATACTGAAACGTTCAACCTGTTGGACGTCCTGCTTGATCACTCAGGGCTGTTTAATATTACTTAGTTATGTGTTTGAATACTCTCAAAAATCACCCCTGTGTGAAAGTACGAAATATTTTTCTAATGCGAATTTACCATCTTGAAAAAGAACAAAGGTTTGGTTTACATCTGAGCAAAGTGTCAAGAATTGGCTTTGGGGGGCCTGTTTCTAAGGTCGGGTATTTTCATGTCTTTCTGCATAAGGGTGTTACTACTTCTCAGTTACTTTTTCTCTCCCTCTCTTTGTACTGTAAAATAAAGATCCAGTACTTGAAGGAATGAAAGAGAAGCTGTGGACCGAATGTACTCTAGGGATTCAGAACTGTCACTTTGGACACTTCATTTGTTCCCTGAGAGTGGGGAGCCAATCTCAGTGTTTGATTTCATAGGCCTCCCAGGGGAGGACTCCGATTAAAAAGCCACTACAGTTGAGGACATAAGTTCCCTTTTATGCCACTGGGATAAGGACCAGAAGTCTGAATTAGGAACTGAGGTTTAATCAACTAGCATTTTAAATGACCAAGATAAGAGGTAACGACCCTTTGAGGCAGCACTCTGGGTTACAGCTGGATATGAATAGTCATGTGTGTCTGTACTGTCTCATTTTTGTTTACTTATCTCATGTACCTTTTTTTTTTTTTTTT